TTCATGAAGTTTTTACATTTTCCTTCTTAATTATTAACAATTCGTAACAGTTTTTATCAAAATACATCATAATAGAATAAATTAATTGGAATTTAAAATTATGAGTGTATAAAACTCTGTCATGCAAATTACGGTATAAACTAGTGCAGCATAGTAGGTATGTGTTCGAATTTAACATTTGTTTCTATTAACTAATCATTTATTTTGTTTTTTTCAAAAATGTTTATTTTAACAATACAAAAGTTCTCGCAAAAAATAGTTTTTTTACATTTCTCTTTTTCCGAAAACATTAAAAAATGTTGGGATTATTAGAATAAAAAAGTGGTTAGGATTGCTGGAGAGTCGGATAATCGTGGATTCGGATAATTCAGGTCGTATTTTAACTGAAGTAATAAAAAATTAGATGTTTTTTTAACTTAACTTTAGAGATTTCAAATACTCGTATAATTTTGGAGATTTAAAAACTGTTTTAATTTTTTTTAATAGTTTGTCTAGTAAGATAAACAGATTTTAGTTAGAAGGAAACGGATAGGTGTTTATTACCTAATTTTCTCTTTAATACTTGGAAATAATTTTAGCAGCTAAAAATTTAGAGTTGTTTGTTTTGTGATCAATTGAATATATTGATTTACTTTGTAAAACATACCGAGAGACTTTTTTATTTTATACAGTTTGTCCTCGGTTAGGTGAAACGATTTTTGTAAATGATAAAAAAAAATTGATGTAAATTTTCAGTTTTTGCTTGGATAAAGATTAATTTCTGACATTGTTTTGAAAAATCAAGTCAGAATGTATATCTTGGAAATTAAAAAAAATAATTTTTCTGTAAAATAAAGTGCCTTTTATGAGGCAAATACGACAAAAAGTCATTAAGAAGTTGTTTAGAAGCAACTTTTAGGCCTCTATACCAAATTTTAAAATAATCGGCTAACTAGTTGCTTTTTATTAGCACATCAAATATTTATTTAATACTAATATTCTAAACATAATTTTTGTTTATTCATAATAAAGAACTGTTAAAGACAAAATTGTTTGATTGGTAAATTAATAAACACAAAAAAATTAAAAAATATAGTTGGCCAATGATTTTGAATTTGGTATACTAAATGTTTGGGCCTAAATGTTGATTCTAGTAACTTATTGTTGTATTTTCAACTCAAAAGGCACTTTACTCTTTTTTGGAAATCTTTATGGCATACTTGATTTTTAAAACTAAAATTAGTCTTTGACCAAGCAAGGCTGAACCACAAAAAATAAAAATTTTGTGTACTTTACAAAAGTCATTTTATCTTTCCGGGGACACACTGTATATCTCTAAATATTAAATAAAGTTTACTGAAAGTTATTTAAAAAATATGCGTATGTTAAAAAAAAGTGCAAAATCAAATTCATGAATGTTAAGGCATGAGAATGTAGAAATTTATTTAAATATTCAGGAAAATTTTTTAACATGCTTGTTTGCTAACTGGTTATTATTTTTAGGAAATTGATATATGCATTTAATTTTAGTAATTTTTTTTTTTTGATTTTGCAGTGTTTTAGGTATGAAAGATTTTTAAAAAATATGAATGTAATTATTTGTTTGTTTAAAAAAATTATAAATACATTCAGAAGCTAATAGTAATGATTTGTTGTTTATTTTTCTGATAATTTTACTATAGATGACTAAAACAGCAGTATAGTAAAAAGTACGTACTTAAACTGGTTTAATGTCTATTTAAGTTCTAATGGACATTTAACATTAATTGATACGTCAGAGTTATTTGATACTTAAAAACCAATAAATTGTTAGATTATATCTGTTTAACGTCCGTTTTCACATTTATTGACTATATGTTCTACGCTTACTCTATTATGAGTCTTTACAACAGTTCAAAAATAAGTTAGTTTAGCGTGTAAATACTGTTATTACTGCCAACATCTTTAAAAAAATGCCGTGAGTCGATTTGTTATTGTTACATTTCGACAATGTAATCTGTAATAAATTTTGCTCGAGTTGATTTGTCCAATTCTTTGTCATGTACCTAATCTAAAAGTCTATTTTATGGTTTGATTACAATCCGATCGATTTTACGACCGAGATAACAAACGTACAAGTACTTTGTGCAGAAATCTTTATTCGAGTAATTTTCTTGATTTGTGCCGTCTGAAATGAAGCCACGCTACGGCTTAAATTTAATCAAACCGGGTCTAATCTAGAGAGTTGTACTAGAAAAAAGTAATTTAATTAAAGATGGCTTTAGCGGGTAATTTATTATATTATGGCGATTAACTCACAACTTTATAATCTGTTTGAGTCTTATTCGGCTTGTGATTCAATTTTGGTAAATTAGTCGAGAATTTTATGTGGCTGAAAAACCGAAAGAAAACTATCAAGGAAAAGGTTTATGATTTGATAGACTTCCTTTTAAGCAAAGCGTTCGATTTGGGGTTTCTTTAGTGTAGTTTTCGAAAGCATTCACTGAAATGAAGTCGCCGGTTCCAGTCACAGATCAAATAGGTTGCAACCGCGGAATATTGGGTTTTGTTATTTGTTTGATGCAATTTTGAAGGACTAGAGGCTGGAAAAGTGGAAAGTGCATTGTGGATGATGTTTATTCGATTTTCAAATGTAAATGTAGCGGGATCGTATTGAATTTACAAGCGAATTCTAACTTGAATTGCACATCTCTTGGCTAACCTGTTGAATATTTCTATATAAAGTAGTGGAAATTTTATTAGGAGGACAATTGAGAGGTTATGCATTAGCAATGAAAGGAAGGATGCCAATTGTGTTGAAGGATTCTATTAGGGAAATGGAACAACAGTCGTGTGTATTACGAAAGTATAAGTTTAGTTGCATCAAAAATAAATTAAATGTTTTTTATTTTAAAGTGAAACTTTTATTTCATCGCCTCAAAATTTTTCGTCTATCTATCGCATGTCGCATTACCACCGGTCGCGGAGTAGGGGCAAAGTGAAAGGCGCTCGAAAAAGCAGCCAAGGCCAATATGGCGGCGCTCATGGCTCGCATCAGATGACCATGTAGCATTTATATTCCTACTCATTCGTGCAAGTGCTCCGCGGTATTTGTGTGTTTTGATCAGTAGTATTGATGTATTGATGTGTATTGATCCAAAAAAAGTTTAACTTTCATCGTGGTTTCTTTAAACCATAGCAGTTTTATTGATTAGTAAACGAATTTATAGAAAATAATTTAGTCAAAAATTTATTATACGTTTTACAGTTCCGACGTCGTACATCAAAAATGTAAATCTTGCACCGTTAGTGCAACTTTTTGGTGAAGTGTAACTACTACAATTAAAAATCTTGCAAACTATTATTTAGTGTCAAATAATAAATTATATTTACCTTTTTTCTTAGTTTAACTGAAGTAATTTTTTAAAAACTAAATGCACTTTTACATTTAAGCAAAATACTAAACAAAGCATATCTGTCTTACATTTAAATTGTTTTAAATAATTAAATTGTGAGAAAAAAGCAATGTTTGAGAGAAATAAAAAATCATTTTTATAAATAAACGTCACAAGAGTGACCACTTTTATTACTAAATGTCACAAATAAAAGTTTTAATTTTTAGGCATGGAGTCAAAAATTCTGTTTTTTGCGCTTAAGCGTTTTTACTTTTACTACGATATTAATTACATTTGTCGATGTTGTGTTTTTCTTCTTTCTTTGTCGGTATTGTACATTGTAGATCATCAGCACTACTAACTGCACTAATTGATATACACTTTCGAAAAACTCAACACAAATTATAATATTTTATATTAGAATTTATTTTATTTTATATTAGATTTTATTACTTACAAATCATCTTGATTATTTTGTTTATTTACGTGCTAATTTGCAGATAGAATAGTGTATGTCATTTGGAGTAAAAGTGAGTTTATTTGGCTCTGTTGAATTATTTGCCTTTCTACGTTCGGCTAAATAAACGGTCATCTTTGCTACATAAACTATCACTTTTACCCTTGATAACATAATATACTATTAGTAATTAAAAAATACTGAAATAATAATAATATAAACGGCAAAACAATAAAATTCTTCAAAGATTTCTTGCTCTCATTATAGCTAAATATTAATTGCGTTTTGAAAATCCTACTTCCCGTTCATTTATGAAAGTTGATAATAAATAGGATGTGAGAGGGTAAATTGTTGTTATAATTCCGATAATACTGGTTACAAAAATTAATTAATTATCAAAATTACATTTTTGCCAAAAAAATAAAACCGCCAATCAAGAGAAAATTTACTTTCTTTTCCACTGAAACAAAATTAATGCCGTTTTAATTACAGATTTACTCGTTTCAGGTGAAGCAAAAAATGTTTTTCTTTGAAGTGTTGGCGTAAAATCAAAGAAATTTTTTTTTTTGTAAACCCAATTTGGGAACATACACTTTACTCACGTTTAATTATAATAATTATTATTATCGAAATAATACCCATGACAAGATTTACTTAAAAGAAATGTTGAGACTAAATGCAAAATCACTTATTACTTTCTTTTCGCAGATGGTTTACAGCTGCGACATTTTCTAATTTACTGAGTGTACATACCTAATATGTGTATAATATCTATTCAATCGATTCAAACTATTTAAGAAAATATCAGGTGATATGGACTGGATTTTCAACAAAATTAAATTTATACTTCATTATGTCAAAAGCATCATTCACTTTTGTATCCTTATAATCAACTATCGATTTTTAACGTAAGTAATTAGGACATGCTGGTATTAATTAATTATCTCTGCATTTGATATCCATTGAATTTAAACGGAAATTATTTGTTGATTACCAATCTCGCAAATCCTTTAATTAAACATAAACCTGCTAAAAATTTACATTTTCGAAAAAATTTTAGTCATCTCTCGCTTTGGACTGGAATTTCGGTCGTCACTCGCACCCTGATATTGTTATGAAAATATTTGTGTGTAATTTGTAGACCGTTTGCATCCTCATTTCCACCAAACAGCTGTTGTTGTTTGTTGTAGTACTGGCCACAATGGATCGGCGCGGCAATAGTTTTCCACGTGTGTTTGAGCGTGTCACCACCCCCGACCGACGATAACAATGTTTTGCACATCGGCGGTATCTTCCCCATCAATGGCAAGGGCGGCTGGCAGGGCGGACAGGCGTGCATGCCCGCCGCCAATTTGGCCCTGGAGGACGTCAACAGGAGGAAGGATCTCCTGCCGGGGTATTCGCTCAAGCTGCACAGCAACGACAGCGAGGTGAGAGATTTTTTAACACAATACAGGGCTGTTCCGTCTAAACCCCACATTAAAAGTATTGGGAGTCATAATGCATCGTATTTATTTCAAAATTGGTACATAGCCATAAACCATTAAGTCCTCCTAAATGAAAATATTTTCCGGTTATACCGGAAGTCGGTCTCAATTTTCTTATTTTAAATGGAAAGCTATATTTTTTACTACGTTTTTGGATTAATCGGGTTATTTTAAGGGAGTTTTCATCACCTTTCCCTATACTTAAATTTAGCCGTTTTTGAAATATTTGGACCTTCCACTTTAAAAATCGGTTACTCTGATATTTTTTAAAATTTCGAAATTCGTTTTTTGGCGTTTGAAAAAGAGAGTTTAGATCTTTTTTCCGGTGTTTTCAAATTTTGAAAAAAAATTAACAAACCATAAAATTTTAAGGTTACTTTTGTAATAATTCAAATACCCATAACTCAATTTTTGCAAATGAAATACTCCAATTTTTATTTTAGTAAATGGAAGAAAATTTAATTCTGCATCGATCTGTATTAACATTCCCTATACCTAAATTTAATAATTTTCAAGTTATGGTGACTTTTTGTTAAGACTCGAAAATCTATTACGTTTTCGTATAGTTTGCTATGAAAATCAAAAATGTCAAAATTGTTTCTCAATAAACGTCGACGGTGACTTATTATTTGACAAATAGTACCAAAATATGGAGAATCAAAGCTACTCAAACTTGGATTTAATTAACTTATTTTGTATTTATGTAACAAAATTATGATGTCGTTCAATAAACAAAAATAATTTTTTCTCACATGTTAGCTTTAAATAATGATCGCATGGTAGAACCTATCAATAATAATTAAGTTTGCATAACTTTGTTTCTTCATATATTGGCACTATTTGTCAAATAGTAATTTACTGTTGACGTTTGTTTATAAATTTTTTTGACATTTTTGATTTCCATAGCAAACTATGTGAAAACGGGTGTGGCTAGTAATAAATTTTCTGTAGTCTTAGAAAAGTCTATAACTTGAAAATTATTAAATTTAAGTATAGGGAATGTTAATACAAATCAATGCACAATTAAATTCTCTTCTATTTAGTAAAATAAAAATTGGGGTATTTCATTTTAAAAAATTCAGTTATGAGTATTTGAATTATTACAAAAGTAACCTTAAAATTTTGGGATATGTTATATTTTTTTTCAAAATTTGAAAACACCAGAAAAAGGATCTAAGCTTTCTCTTTCAAACGCAAAAAAAAAACAAATTCAAAATCTTAAAAAATGGCAGAGTTACCGATTTTTAAAGTGGAAGGTGCAGATCCAAAAAATTTTTAAAAACTCCAAATATTTCAAAAACTGCTAACTTTAGGTATAGGGAAAGCTAATGAAGACTCCCTTAAAATAACCCGATTAATGCAAAAACGCACTAAAAAATTTACCTTTCCATTTAAAATAAGAAAGTTGAGGCCGACTTCCGGTATAACCGGAAGCGCCGCCATCTTGAAAATATTGTCATTTAGGAGGACTTAATGGTTTATGGGTATGTACCAATTTTCAAATAAATACCATTATTCCAACTCCCAATAAATATTGGGAGAAATCTAATGTGGAATGTAGAAATCTAATGTGGGGTTTAGACGGAACATCCTGTATATTAAAGTTAAACAAATAAAACAGCTGTTTTTCTTTAATTTGGAGACGAAGATTTAAAAAAGGAGGTTTTGGACGCATTTGGTAATAAATTGACGAAAGCACAAAATAATCATGAATGAGAGTTACATCGCAAGGGACAAAAAGGAAATAATAAGAGTTTAGAATTTTTTAAAATTTATTGTCAACTAGCTTGCACCCGTGACTTCGTCCACGTAGATTTTCGATATAAATTTTTGTTGTTTCTTAAAGAAGAAATGTGAAGTTAGTCTGTTTATCTATTTTTTTCTTGATTCATCAACTCAAAACAACGCGGGAGCATCAGAAACCCGATTTTTAAAAGAATGACGAAATATATAAACGCTTCACTTCATCGAATTTTCAAAAAGTGTCTTCTTAGTGCATTTCTGCACCCTCAAATCTCAAAATTTTAAATTTATATTTTTGTTTAGGTGTTTGCACCTAATTTCATCCCGTTATAGGTTGGTTTTTGATAAGTGCCTGATTAGGGCAGTTCTCTACTCTCTGGGAAAAATATTTTCCAAATTTCATGTTTCTATCTTCGTTTAAACATGTACACCTCGTTTCACCCTCTTAAAAACTGATTTTTGAAAAATCTCGTCTTAGTGCATCTTTACAACCGCTAAGGAACATATCTTCGAAATTTTTTGTTTCTATCTTTGTTTAAACGTTTACACCTCATTTCACCCCCTTAGAGGTTGATTTTTTTAAAATCCTTTCTTAGTGGACCTCTACACCTTCTAAGAAACCAATCTGCCAAATTTCATCTTTCTAGCTTCAGTGGTTTAGGCTGTGCGTTGTCTGTCAGTCACTCACGGAACTCTTTTATATACAGGGTGCGCCAGAACTCGTGCCCCAGAGAAAAATGCCATATAAGGTAAGATATCAGGAACATAGAAAAAATGTTAAAAAAATGTTATCTATAAAAATTTTAAAGTTTTTTTTTTAAAGTTTAAAGTTTTAAAGTTTAAAGAGGAAACAAGGAAGCTGTATCCTAAATTGTAACTCTGTTATTTGGGCTTTTATTGGCAAAATTTTTGTACCTTTACTAAATATATGGAAAAAAACAAGATCATCAGTATCATTAAATAGTCATAAAAAAATGTCAAATGTCAAAAAATAAATGTCAAAATTTTTTGATAGATAGAATTTATTAAACATTTTTTCCATGTTCCTGGTATCTTATCTTACTTAAAAAAAAATTCTGGGGCGCGAGATCTGGCGCACCTGTACATAGATTCTATAGAAAGTGAACAAAAAGTGTGACACCAACTGTTTTTTTATTATTTGTTTTTAGAAAACCATAATTACGTAATAAAAAATAAAATGCTATAAAAAATAAGATCGTGTTTTGAGAATGAAATTTTGTTTCGTTTGTGAGTTATGCGATTTTTTTCAAAATTGTAAGTTATAAGAAAATTTTATTTCGATAAAAATTGAATAAAGTGTAGAATAGCATTTGCAAAACATTATACAGGCTTTTCCGGCTAAATCCCACATTAGAAGTGTTGAAAATTCTAACAGTAACATTTATCTAAAATTTTGATTATAGTTAGTCATAACTGTTTAGATCTTGAAAATATTTCCAAGATTTCACCGGAAATGGGTATCAACTTCCTTATTGAAATAGAAAGTTATGTTTTTATTGCGTTTTTGGATTACTGAAGTGATTTTGAAAGAGCTTTTATCAGATTTTTATATACCTAAACTTAACCGTTTTTGAAGTATTTAGACTTTTCTGTTTTTTTTTTTTTTAAATGTGCTCTTCTTCTCCAAAAATCGATAACTCTACCATTTTTAATTATTTTGATATCGCATTTAGGCATATGAAAAAGAAAGATTTTCTTTCGTGTAGTTATAATCGGAAAAAAATTAACAAACCTCCAAAATTTAAGATTATGTTTGGGAAATTTCAAATGCTCGTAACTGATTTTTTTTATAGAAAGCCCCAATTTTTTCTTCATTAAATGAAAAAGAATTTAATTCTGCATCGATCCATATTAACATTCCCCACACCTAAATTTAATGATTTCCAAGTTATTTTACAAATTAATTACAAATACAAATTAATTTATTTAATTTAAATTTAAACTTTGATATTCTATTTTTTTCTTATTTCTATGACAACTTTTGCTAATGTAGGGATGAATGAATTTCTCACATTATGAAAAGAAGTTACTATAACTTAAAAACTATCAAACATAGGTATAGGAAATGTTAACACAGATTGAAGCAGAACTTTATTTAGTGAAGAAAAAATTGGGGTGTTTCAATTAGAAACATTGACTAAAAGGTATTTGAAGTTTCCTAAACGTAACATTACATTTTGGCGGTTTGTTAATTATTTTTCTAACTATGAATACATCAATTTTATTTTCGTGTACCCAAATACAGTTTTAACACAATAAAAAATGGTATAATTTTTGGGTTGGAAGATTCAGGTTCAAAAAATCTAAATCTAAATATTTTGAAAGCGGTTAAACTTAGGTATAGGGAAGGCTAATGCAAACTCTCTCAAAATCACTTGAGTAATTCAAAAACGCAAAAAACATAACTTTTTCTTTAAAATAACAAAGTTAATATCCACTTCCGGTGTAACAGAAAGTGCCGTCATCTTGAAAATATTTTCATTGAGCAGAACCTAACCGATTATGGCTACAAACAAAATTTTAGATAAATAACAGACTGTTAGGTTGCTATTCGAAAAAATTAAGTAAAAGTTTTGCAAAACTCAAAAACAAAAAAAAAATCAACATTATTTTTTTAAAAACGTCCAAATTTTTATAGTACATAGTTACTTTGTTTTATCAAATAGTTTTTTTTTAATAATTTGATAAATAAAAGTTTGAATTTTGACAAAATTTTAACATAGAAAAAACAAAATTTCCGGCCCCAAAGAAACAAGCAAAATTTGTGGCTTGGGTGATTTCTTCAGTTTGTTTTTAAACATTTGTAAAATTTATGCCAAGTTAAGTGTTCTCTAAATATTCACAATAAACGGTGACGATATCGCCGCATCCCCGGTATTTATAGCGAAACTCACCCTCTTTCATAACGTTACGCCACCGGGAGACAGGATGCTGACGAGGGTTCATGTGTTAATTTAGCACTGAATACCCGTCACGATGGGGTTATTTATATCGGACTGGCCAAATATGCCACCGTTTAAAACTCTTTATGCTAGAAGTGTTTAAAAACGAACAAGAAAAACAGTTCAATTGCTAAAATTTATCGTTTGTATCAAAGGTGGAACAACTCTAAAATGTTTTTTAGAGCCACTGCTATAAAATTATTTATGTGTGTTATGAAGAACGGTTTATTTTTATAA